TCTTTGAGATGCAGCTGCAGGCGCTCATTTGACTCGCTAAGCAGCCGGTCCACGGTATCTGACAGCCGCTTGTTATGGTCCTCGTTCATCTTCTCCCGCTGACGCACCTGCACAGCCAGCCCAACTTGCACCAAGCTTCCTCAGAGCTTTGTCACCGCCCTCCCGGGGACCCAGCCATTCCGCTGGGCTCTGCCCTCATTGCCTGTGCCATTCTGGTCCTCATGGAGCCTTTCTCCAGATCTCCCGGCCACCTCTTAACCCCCACCCTGCAGGCCTCCCCTGCCCGTGTGGCTCGATCCCTACCAGGCTCTTCCTCTGCTCTCCACCCCCTTAACAAACCATCCTGGGTGCCTGGTCCCCCGGAGCTGCCGAGAGGCCAGCCTGCTGCCCTCACCCTTGCCAGCTCCTGGTTCTTCTCCTCCAGCTGCCCTTCCAGATGCTGAAGATGCTCCTCGATGTTTCCGTGCCGTTCCTCAGCCTAGGGGCAGGGACGGCTCAGTGCATCCTAGAGACCTCTGTTCCTCCTGCCTTGGCCCCACACCCCACTGGTCCTGGTGCTGGGCAGTCTTGGGGATCCAGGCTGCAGGTGCCAAGCAACCCCAGCCTTCTTTCTATCATCTTGGTGCGGAACTGCAATTCCTCACTGTCTTTCCTCCCAAGCACCCGACCCCTGCCAGGACCATCACTTCCTTCCCATTCAGAGCTGGCAACAAAGGCTGTCAGTCTTCTCCATGTTTCCAGAGAAGGCTCCATTTGAAAGTGTAGACTCAAGTCAGATGGCCTGGGTTCAACTCCTGGTTCCCTCTCTTACCAGCCATGTGACCTTGGCCAAGTCCCTGAACATCTTAGTTTCCTCAGCTGTAAAATGGACAATAACAATAACAGCACCTGTATCCCCTGGACCATTGTAGAGACTGAAGGAAATAATCCTTGCCAAACATCCAGAACACAATAAGCACTCAACCAAGCTAGATTTGCCATGGCCATCACCTTGGTACTAGGCCAACCCGGACAGGGCAGTCTCCCTGGCCATGTGTGCACCTCCAGCAATGGAGACTCTATTGTTCCTGCTGACAAGATACTCTGGAATCTCGAAGTCAGGAAATCTGTCCTTAAAATTCTCCTGCTGTGACTCACTTGAACTTATGAATCACTTCAGCCCCATCCCTGCTCGCCAGTTTCGGCTCCGCATCCCACACATAACATCCTCGGCTGTAATTTAAACCCTGCCCTTCATTCCTAGCGCCAGAAAAATAGACCCTAGTGACCACCAAGGCCAACTCCACCGTCATGGAGCTGACACGTAGGTCCAATGAGGGGGTGACACTTCCCAGCGGCAGAAGTAGATGTGGCCCTGGGTCTACTGAGGCACAGTCAGGGTGTGGGTTCCCTCCCCAGAGCACCCGAGCTGCCACCCTAGCACACTGGCCAGCCTCTCTCCTTCAGAGGCTCTGGGGCCAGTCGCTTACTAAGCCCTGGCGTCCTTCTAATCCCCGTTACAGTCGTGGCGACCCTTGTTACATTACAACCCACCCAGCTGAGAAGATGCCGCACTGTTTTGATTAACCCTCAGCATGTGGAAGTCCACGTGGTTACCTAACTCCTCCTACGTGTTTTCAGGCTGCATCCTCTTAGGAGTTACTTACTACTCCATAAAGTTACCTCTTTGTTAGGTAAAATGATATTCCCTTTTATTCATCCTAAAGCCGCAGGCTTCAAGCAACCAGGGGTGGTCCCTCAATCTAGAATGCTTCAGCTGCTAAAGAAATTCCCACCCACAGGCCCTCCGGGGTATACGGACTTTGGTCATATTAACCAGGTGTCTCTTCCCCTTTCACCTCTCCAGAAATAAAAATCCCAATCTTTCCACTCCATCCCCCACTCAAAAGAGGTCTCAACTATGTTGATGTCACTGATAATACAAATACTGTGCATCAGCGTAGTCTCTTCTCCTTAAAGTGTGTTTAGCCCTCCTTCCCAGGGACTGCTCTTCCCTGACAGACACTATGTCGTGTGTTTCCTAGCATCAGGCAGAGGGAGTCAGTAATCTGGCTCAAGGCCCAGTGTGCCTCCCAAGGGGCGGGAAACACAGACCCTGGCAAACATCAAGGCCCACTCGGCTCCGTAAGAGCTTGGGACACGGGGACAGTGGCAGATCCCAGGCCCTGGTCCACTCACCTTGGTGAGGGCTGCGATTCTCTGGGCCAGCTCAGCCTCCACCTCCGGCAGCGTCTCTGCCTTGCGCATCGTCTGCTGCAGCTTCTGCTCTGCCACCTCCAGCAGCTCCTGGAGGTGCCGGGCCTTCTCCTCGCACTGGCAATGCAGGGGTGGAGAAGTGAGCAGGAGAGAGCCCCGGGCCTCCCCAGCCCTGCCTGGCCTCAGCGGAGAACTGTGACGGGTCAGCAGTAGCGCGGGTCAAGCACGGTTCTTGACTTCTTTCCCAAGGGGACCTGCAGGACCCCAGGGGCTCCCGAGCAACCAAGAGGTGGTTCTGGCAAAATCAAGGGCCCTCTGGTGTCAAGTGCAATCCCCGCCCCACCTGGGGGAGTTACCTGACGGTGCAGCGACTCCTTGTTGGCCAGTTCATTCTCCAGTTTGTCATTGAGGTCGTGGATGGAGGTGGCCTCGCGCTGAGCAGCCAGGTAGCGTTTCTCCAGTGTGGTGATTCGCTCCTCCATGTCCTCCTTCTGGGCCAGAGCCTAGATGGGAGCAGAGCGGAGGAGAGGAGAGGTCACCGGCCTTTCCCTGGCCCCCCCTTCCAAAACATGGACAGGTGTGATCTACGCTCCCCTCTCAGTGTCTGCCCATGGCCCAACCATCCCGTTGCTTCTCCCACTCTGATCCACTGAGTTCTCAGCCTTACACGCCCAGCTCTTGTCTGCACCTCTGCCACAGCCTCTTGAATGCCAAGCACCTGCAACCAGCAAGATGAGGGAGCTGAGAACAGGCGCGAGACCCTGCTCACCTCATGGAGGTCCCGCTGGTGCTTGCTGCTCAGCTCCTCTGACTTAATAAGGTCCCGGCGGGCTGTGCCCAGGTCCTCTTCAAGTTCTGCCACCGTTGCTGTCAGGGTGACCAGTCGCTCTCGGGCCTGGCTCAACTCAAAGTTTTGCTTCTCCAGAAGCTCCTGTAGCTCCTCTACCTGGCCCAGGTCCTCCTCCAGGGAAAGGGAGCCATCAGTTAGTCATGGGCCCAGGGCACCCACCCTGTGCCCCACCCTGGGAGGCGGCGCCCACAGCAGATCACTGCTCTGCACCACCAAGGCACACGTTGGCTCCACCTCCCTTCCCCTGACCCCCAGGAGTTTATTCCTGACAAGGGGCAAACACCCGTGCTCTCCTGAGTACTTCTTGGAAAACAAGAGTTTCTAACTGTACCTGCTATCTTGAGAACTCAGCCTCTTGTAGCCCAAAAATGACAAAGGGGAACAAAGACGCAAGAGCGAAGGAACCTTGCCTGATGCTGACATACAAGGGCAGATGACCCCTAGCAATTCAGTGGGCGAGCACGCCATGTGTGCCTTGCACAAAATCAGAGTCTACATACTTCTTTGCAGATGGGGTGGGGAGGAAAGAGAAGTGGGGATATTGCAGAAAGCCCCATATATCACTCCAGCAGAGGCTCTACTGAACTCAGGCAGGCAAGGCCTCCCATTTCCGCCTTGGAGAACAGTCTCCTGCTATGCGGTACCCCATGACCCACCTTCCACAGGCATTTTGGTCCCAGCTCCATAGTCCCCTCCTCTTCTGCCGCTCCATCCCGAACCCCTGCCCCCTGCTGCAGGGCAGACACCTGTCAAGCACAGTACCCAGCACAGTGAGTCAGAAAGAACTTCCTGTACTCCCGGACCCTTCTTCAGCCCCTGCTCCTGGAAAGGGGTGCCTGGCCCGAGCCTTGGTTACTAGTGTCAGGCCACCATGGGGAGAAATCTGGTGAGGAACACAGCGGAGCTAGGGTTGAAGCTTCCAGGCTTCCAGGAGCTGTGGTCTGCAGACTGGGTGTGGACAGGAAGCTTACCTGCTGGTGCGCACCTGCCAGCTGCTCCTCCAGGGTGGTAACTCGCTCCAGTGCCGCCCGGAGCCGCTCTCGGACCTGCCCAAGGTAAGGAGTGATGGAGGAAGGAAGGAGGGCCCATTGAACTCAGTCTGGGCTTGAGTCAGTTGGGTCTGAGGGCAAATGAGGGCCTCCCAGGCAAATTCCCAGGACACAACCAAGAAGGATGTGAAGTGAGGAAGGGGGAGCCAGTCCTGAAGCTAGAAGAGTTTTTCCGAAATACTTATGCAGAAAGAGGACATAGGAGGCTCCAGGGAGAGAGCAGGGCCAGGTGGGTACCTTCTCGTCCAGGGCCTTGTGGTGCTCAAACAGCGACTTGAGGGCCTTCAGCACCTCCACCTCACTGGAGACCCCTGAAGGGGACTGGGCCTGGCGTTTCACCACGGTCATCCGCAGGGACCGCTCGTGGCGGGACACCAGGCACTCCAGATGTTCCAGAAGCAGCTGGCAGGGAGCAGCGGAGACCAGGAGGGTGAGCTGTGGGTTTGCACTTCGGGGGCTACAGGCAGGGCCCATAGGGTCGCCCAGTTGACGTGAGTCCAGCCCCACCAGTGTGACCGTGTTGAAATTCTTCCACGTGGTAAATCGCTGCCCCCAAACTAAACACCAGCCCCAGCTCTGCCGCCCTGCTGACCAGAACTATGGGAGAAAAGCGGGGCGCTGGCAGTTGCCGTGCTCCAGGACGTGAGGTCAGGATGGCGTTGAGGCCGACCCCGGCCTGGCCTGGCCTACTTCTGGGATGGAGGTAAACACACACACACACACACACACACACACACACACACACACACACACACGAGGACATGCCCACTTACCCTTGTGTTGTTCCGTTCCGCTTTCAGCTCTGATATCTCTTCCTCCCGCTCTAGAAGCTGTTCCCGACACATGCTCAGCTCCCGGGTTAGGGTGGCAAATTCCTGAAAACCCCCAGGGCCTCTCAGTGCTTGGGGATTTGTGCCCTAAGCAGTGTCCTACGTGCCCGAGTCCATGCGGGGCTCCTCTCACCTGCCCCTAACTTCCACCAGGCCCTAGAGATTCCCAGTCCCTCACCCTGACTGCCGGTGTGAGTCTCCCCGGGGGTCCGTGTCCCTGAGGCTACTGTGCGTGTCAGGATCCGAGGGAATAGGGTCTCATCCGGAACCCCCCACTCAGCCTTTCTACCCCAGTGGTTTTTTCCTTCAGAAACGAATGGAGGGCAAGGCCGGTTCCGGTTTGGCAGACTGAGGTCCACACTGAAGCACACAGATGTCAGAGGTACAAGAGAAGGGTGTGCTGCGGATTATGTCTGAGTGGGCCCCAGGAAGCTCTCTTCCATCCCTTCCCCAGGTGCTGCAAGCTGCAGGTGGCTGGTGAAATAAGAGAAGGGAAAGGCTCCCCCGACACACTGGAGCAAGAGGGCCTGCGGAACCAGGCGCCAGGCGGGTTTAGTTCTGGTTTCCTGGGAGCCCCTCCTGATGCCACAGCACCCACCCTGGCTTTACTGAGTATCTGTGCACCACGCTTCTCCTCAGGGGGACCCACCCCATACTGGTAGGCCCAGACTGCCTGCCACCAGCACCACACCTTCGGTGGGTGAGAGGCCGGCCCAGGTTCTCACCTACTTAATGGCCCTTGCCAGACTCTAGGAAGGTTCTCAGATACATGACCCGTACTCTGGGGAATGAACCGAGCCGTGGCCCTGCTCCTCACTTCAGCCTTCTGTGCACTCCCAAAATTCATCACCAAAGGAAGAATTCCCACAGCAGCCCCCTCCTCACTCAGACCAGACAAGATGCCAGAGCGTGAGGAACCAAGGCCCTCAGGCCTCCTTCCTTGATTACCGCCCTTCTCTGAGGCCACGGCCAAGGGCAGCCATGGTCCAGCATTTCACACCCTGGAAGCACAGGCCTGGGCCTGAGCCCTCAGCTCACACACACGCGTGCACAGTCACACTTTCACACGGTCACACACGCTCACACTCACAGGCTTGCTCACACACACACACACACACACACACACACACACGAACTTGTACCCAGTCAGGACTCAATGGCCTGGCCCCCAGCCCTATGCTGTGACAAAGAGGGCTGTGATCCACTCCGCTCTCTTGCCCCAACCCCAGGAGCAGTAGCTTGGCCTTTCCACCTGGGCCCTTCCTCTCCACTCTACCCATCTGCCAGGGCAACCTCCCAGTTCACAGAGCTGGGCACACGTGTGGTGTGACGGAAACACACAGTCCACGTTAATTTTTTTCAATTATTACAGTAAAAAACACATTGCCATGCTCACTTCGGTAGCGCATACACTTAAATTGGAACAATACAGAGAGGTTTAGCACGGCCCCTGCACAGGGATGATACGCAAATTCGTGAAGTGTTCCATATTTTTTCTAGTTAAATGCATGCACATTAAGGCCATACTTTTAAGTGAAATAAATAGGACACACACGTGTAAATACCAAATTGTTTCTCTGGTATGAAAAACTAAAAGTATAAATAAGGATCAAAATGTATAATTGAGACGGTGAAATAGGAAGAAAAATGGCTAAAGGAGTAGGGGAAGTGGGAGGGGTAGGGGAAAGGAAAGAAGGGAAAGAAAAACATATGAGAAAAGGAAAAAACAGAAACAAAGACTTTGTAAAGAGGGGAAGGTACAGGGGGTGTAGAGAGGGCAGGGGAATGGGGAAAATAAGAACAAAGGTATGTAAAGGGTATAAATTCCCAATGATGAATGTAACTCTAGTGTATACCTAAAATGTACCAATAAACTTAATGGGGGAAAGAAACCACATCACCATCAATCCCCCCCAAAATCCTCCCCTCACTTCGACCACACTTATCCCACCATTTTTGCCCGCTTTCTGGAGCAGTTCTGGAAACCCTCTTTGGTGAGCATCCTTATAAAATATGATCAAAATTCAGTGAATACCACTGCTGAGTGCCATCCAACAGAAAGGTAGCTCAAAAAACATTACAGCATGTCCCATCCACCTTATCCGCCAGGTCTGGCCCTGTGTGACTTCCGCCTCTTCCCCAAAGTCAAAATGACTGTGAAAGGTAAACGTTTTGAGTTGCAACTAGACACAAAAAAGGACTTCCAGAACCGCTTCAGAAAGGGCAAGAACGATGTTATCTAAAAATGAGGGGAATTAATGTGTCTTTTTCTGTAATATTTTTAAAAAATAAACGTTTGCTGTATTTTTCAATCATATCTTGCATTTCTAATCCTGGTTTTCAAAGTTTCGTCTCACAGCCCCTTTCTACCCTAAGATTCAGCCCACCTGGGTCACTTGCCTGTTTCCAAGCACCAACAAGCTTCCCAAGCCACAGCTTTGCTTTGCCGGGTGGGCTCCCTCTCCCTGCAGAGTCAACCCTCTCTGCCATCTGAATGAAGCAGATTCCTTTCAAAGCCCATCTCTGGGGTCCGGGATTTAGCTCAGTGGTGCCACCACCTGCTTTGCAAGCGCAAGGTCCAGAGTTGGATCCCGGGTACCAAAAACAAAAACAAAAAAAGCCCATCTCCAACAGCCCAGCCTCCTGGGGACCTTCCTGGGCTCCCCAGTGGAAGCCTCCCTCCCTCCCTTCCTTGAAAACCACTCAGGCCAGGTAGGGCAGGGCATGTGTGTAATCCCAGAAATTGGGAGGCTGAGGCAGGAGGATTTTGCTGGAAGTCTGAGGCCAGCCTGGTTACACAGTGAGTTCAAGGCCAGCCTGCGCTACCTTTTGAGACTGTGTCTCAAAAATACACCTCACTCAGCAACACCTTGAGAGTCTACCTCTCAGCCACAAACATGTGTGACTACTGGGTCCCCACCAGGTCACCGAGGGTTCAAAGACAAGATACAACCCCTGCCCTTGTGAAGCTTCCAGTGTCAGAAATCAGGAAGGCCTGGATCACATCTCAGCTCAGCCCCTGCCCTTGGTAGCTGTGTGACTTTGGACAAATTAGCTGACCTCTTTGAACCAGTTCTCTGATCTGTGAGACAGACCTCTCTCTAGAAACTGCTGTGAGGATTAAATGGTCCAAAGTACAGAAATCACTTAGCAGGAGCCCATCAAAGAAAGACAGCTATTTTTGTCAGTGATGTGTTACCCAACCTTTGGGCCTCTCTTATTATTTTCTACATTCTCCCCTAGTCTTCTGGGGCCTGTGTCTCCTTCCCAGTCTCTGAGCTCCTTGGGGCAGGAACCAGCTCATTTATCCAGGGCGAGTTCAGGGCCTCCTTCCCAGAGAGGTAGGCGGGACCTAGCACCCCACCCCAGCTTTTCACCAGGGCTCCATGAGAGCCTCACAGCCTCTGCCCTCCTCACCCACCCAGGCCCTGGGTTCTTCTCCCTGCACCCAGGGAAAGGGTCTGGAGCTGGGGCTTGAGCTGCTCGGCTCCTGGGACTGCCCCCCACAGCCCAGCAGCACCCCAAGCAGCTCAGGTGTGCTATGCAGGTGCCACGTGCCTGGTCTTGATGCTCACTTTCCTCCTAGATCCACGTAGTCACTGTGAGTCCTGTGCTCGAAGGTTGATGAGCCCCACCCCTCCCTGGGCCTGGCCACCCCCACAAGTTCCTGTTCCACTCTCCACCCTGGTGCACACATTTCACTGGAGCATCTACCAAGGGCTAAGTAGGAAGCAACCCAGAGACCCCGGGCCAACACGGTAAAGTAGAAATATGTTGGGAGGCCAAAAGCAACTCTTCGGAGTCACACTCCTGCTTTGATCTCCTACCAACGGCAGTCACGAGCAACTGAGCGCCCTCCCCAGACTTTAGTTTCTTCATTTGTAAAACAAGACCACTAGTGAGAATACTACCAACTTCATCGTTGTGAGATCTGGGAATCCATAGAGTGTGCCCGGTCCATAGAAAACACGCAAAAAATAGTGACCGCGTTATAGTGAGTAGCGGTGCTGTTAAGGAGCAAGAAATGGGTTAAGACCTCGCTTCTGCTGTAATGTGACAGTTCTTGCTTTTCATACGTGAAACAGGGAAGCTGGACTAGGAGATTTCTAAGGCTTCTCTCACCTCCACTTCCTGAGATTCTCCCTCCACCCCATCCACCCATCTCCAAGAATAGGGGCTTTGGTGAGAAGGCAAAAATTGAGATTTTTTTTTTTTTGCAGTCTAGGGCGCCACCTACTGGCAGTATTGCCCCACCGCAGTTGGAAACTACAGCAGGATTCCCGCTCCACCCCATCAACGCACAGCCCATTGTTTTGGCCAGGAGAAGCCAATTCCAGGCGGAGGAGACTGAGGGTGACAGGAAATGATTTATGTAGGAAGATGGAGCCTAAAAGCTCCTTGAATTCCAGTATTTATATGCAAATAGATGCAGATGAGCCGAGGGCCCAACAGGCTGAGGGAAGGGGCCGAGGGCGGTGCCTTACCTGGGGGAGGGCGGAGTTAAGGTGGCGCTGGAGCTGGTCCCGCTCATGCAGAGCACCCTGCAGCCGGCTCTGCGTGGCTGCCAGGCTTTCCTGACTCTCCCGAAGGGACTCCAGCAACTTCTCCCGCTCGTCCAGCATGTTCACCATCAGCTGCTCAAAGTTGGCGTCCGCATCGGCGCCGTGTGGGGGCCCCAAGGGGTCCCCCTCGTTGATTGTGGGCATCACCTCACACATGGTGGGGGTGGGCAGGGCCTTCTCAGAGTCAGGGGACGGGGAGGGACTCACGGGGTTGGCAGCTGCAGAGGGCCCTGTGCATGGGTCTCAGAGAGGGCAGTGCCAGGAGAGTGGGCAGTGGGCAGGGGCTTCTCCCATGCCATCAGTCGTTCTTGCTCTGAAAGGAGCCTGGGGCCTGCAGTTCTCCTGTGGAATGGAGCCAGGAAGCCTGGCTTAACCTCTTGGGGCTGGGGCTGGGTGCCCTGTGTGCCCAGACCGGCGGGCAGCATCGGAGTGCGGCCATGACAGGCGAGGAGAGCAGGCCTGGGCCGGCCCTTATCTCAGACTGAGCACCGGAGCCTGGCAGAGTCCCAGCTGGGTCTAGCGACACCCATCGTTTCTGGAGGGCAGGGCGGGGTGGTCTGTGAGAGAAGAGAGCGCCTTTGAGGACCCCAGCCGGAGGGGAAGGGAGAAGGGCAGGGTGGGGTGGGGCGGAGGAAGCGACCCTGAGCCTGAACGGGAGGGAGGGCGGGAGAGGAGGCCAGGCCCCTTCTCGGCTGGGGCTGGGGCTCACACCGGCGCCTCCTCAGCGTCCCAGGAATCTGCACATGCCCACTGCCCAGCCTCTGCCGCCGCCCCCAGCTGTCAGAAGTGCAGCCGCAGTGGTTCCCCCGCCCACGTGGCTCGCTGGCCAAATATAGAAATGATTCAGTCAGCGGTAGGGGAGCAGCAAGCTGGCTGCCCAGAGTCCTGTGGAGACCTGAGGGTGGCAGGGGAGGAATCAGGGTCTGGGGCCCTCTGGCTCAAGCCTAGGAAAGTGCCCGGGGCTTAGTGGGTGGGGCTCCTGCGGGCCTTGGGAAAGGGGCGCAACAGCACAACATGCCCTCCTGAGGCACAGGCTGGGCACTGGGGCAGGCAGAGAGCCTCGACCTGCTACACTGCCCATAACTCAGGGAGGAGGTGCTGGTGAAGTCATTCCCCACTTCGGAAACCTGCCAAGGGGGCCAGACGCAGGCCTGAGGATGGCAGCTTGTGCTTCCGGCTTCGTAACTTGCACCTCTGCACTGAACTGGGATGAAGGATGGAGGGGCATGGGGTTCACAAGCGAGTTGGGGATCCCCTTGGGGGGCTCTGAGTGGGGCCACTTGCTCATGGCTAGGAATCTGCTCCCTCCACATAATCATCCTGGCCAGAAGTCACCAGCTGCCATGGTCAGCTCATGCACAGCCTGGCTGGAGTGATTCTCGGGGCCTGGCACAGGGAAGCCCAGTGATCAGAGCAAAGGCGAGAGGAGGCAAGCGGCACTCAGCTGGGAATTTCTCCGCCCACATTCGGCTCCCAAAGTCTCACCCACTGCTAAATGGTCACTACCCTCAGGGTTTCCCAAGGCAGCGTCCTCAGGTCTCCTTGTTGCTGGAGAGCTCCGAAGCGGGGAGGAGCCCCCAGCTCGGTGGTGGGTACACTGGAGTCCTCCACGTGGTGTTTTCCTTCTCTCCCCTCCCTTTCAAGAGACACTGGAGCAGCCACCGTCCACCGAGGGGGGAGAGAGCAGGCTGACTGGGAGGGTCAGGACGGAGGTGGCATCAGGGCCCAGGCAAGGTGAGAAGCAGGAGCGTGGCAGGCGTGAGGCCCCCCCCCCCAGGGCAGTGAAGACCCAGGCAGAACAGGGGGAGTAAGAGGGAGGCAGGGAGGCCTGTGGGGCCAGATGAGAGGAAAGCTAGAGCCGCAGCTAGAAGTCTCACACCCATCGCCATTTGCAGAGGGGCTGTGGCCTGAGCCCACAAACAGGCGCAGACACAGGAACAGAGATGTGGGGCGCACGCACGGCCACATGCGTGCTCCCCACCCCGACATAGGCACTGGACACAAGCTCCAACGGTGAGCAGTCCGCTGCCTTCTTGGTGACCCACCATGGGAGGCAGGGCCCCCTAAGAAGTTACCAAGGTGGAAGGCAGAACCCCGGTCTGCACCCTGCCTTCCTCAGCACTGCTGCTGGGCAGCCCACACTCACTCCTCACCCACAGAGCAGCCTGGCTGGCGCTGCCATCTCACTCGGGCCGATAACGCGCTACCTCCACTGCTCCATCCATGGTGCCCAGGCCCTTCACCCTGCATGCTCCAAACTCATCAAGAGCTGCACCCACGTCCTCTCTGTTCCTACACTCGTCCATTCATACCAAAAAGAAATGAAAAACCAAAGAGGAGACCAGGCCGGGGAGGGCTGTGGCTGAGGCTGCCCTCTGGGGAAGATCCTGCAGTGTGCTCAGAACGGCTCAGCCCAGCAAATTCCCAGGCAGCCTGAAGTGCAAAGGAAAAGCCCATGGCTGGGCCGTAGGGGATCGGGCTGCAGTTCTGCCAGAGACCAGCCAGATGACCTTGGACTTGTCCCCGCTACTGAGGCCTCTGCTCTGAGCTGGAACCCACAACCTCACTCTGCCTGCCTTACAGGGATGAGATCATGGATGAGCGGAGCTCAGAAAAGTAGAGCGCACCCTACAGTTGGGGTGGGGGGCTTTTCCCTTTGTGTTAGGCAAAGGCAGGCTGGTGTGTATAGTTTTAAAGCTCCCAACAGGAAAGGGGCTGGGAAAGTTCTCAGGAAGGGAGAACAGGCTGCCCTCCGTGAGATGCTGACCGTGTCTTCCCAAATCCTCCCGGTCATTTTGGCAATGGAAAACTTGGCTTTTGCGCCACCAGGCCTATCCCAGGCTGCCTCCAAATCTCGTGCCAGGTAGCAAGTCCACTTCTGGCCAAACGGCACAGAGAGCTGGTTGAAGATACTCCCAGACAGAGATGCCAGACAGACAGCCCTGAGATGACTGCCCAGGACCTCCTCCTGCCCTGCCCGCCCACTACACAAACCAGCGAACAGACAGGAGCTCAAGAACAGCCACACAGGGACACCTGGCTTCCCCTGGCTCCCAGGCTGACTTTAAATAGTGCAATTATCATCTCAGCCTAGCAGACACCTCAACTCCCTGCACAATTCTAAGTAACACTTTCAGGTCCTGATGCAGAGGCGAAAGCTGCCATTCCCCCGCACCCCAAGCAAGCATTTGCAAGGGGCTTTGCTGGGAGGACTGTGAAAAAGCAGAAGAGGCGCAAGAGTGGGCGGGCGAGAGGGAGAGGGAGAGAGAGAGAGAGAGAGAGAGAGAGAGAGAGAGACACACACACACACACACACACAGAGAAGGGGGGAGGGGCAGAGCAAAAGGAGGCCTCCAGCTTGCAAGACACAGAATGGAGACCTCACAGGCATCCTTGGTTTCCCAAAGACACCCCCACCTTTCTCCTAACAAACAGGAAGAACGGGCACTTGAGTCGGATGCTCCAGCTGCTCGTGCACACACACAGGTCTGGCTCCCCACTGTCCTACCAGATGGCAGGCCTCACCACCGTGAGCTAGCTCGCCAAGGCCAAGGCCGCAGGGCCAGGCCTCAGCGCTGGGAACTGTACTCTGCTCTGAGTGGCCACGAGCTGGGCAGAGGGAGCCTGAGGTGGGGACCCCTTCAGAGCTGACGGGAGAAGGGGAGGGTCATACACCCCCCAATGGCAGGAAGGGTGGGGCCTGAAGAAACCGGGAGGGATGTGATCACCCAGGAAAGCCAGAGTGATTCTGGGAGCTGCTATCATTTACCAATACTTACCACACGCCCAGGACTACACCGTCCGATGAAATGTACTAACTGATTTTAATTCTCAAGATTCCTTAGGAGGAGGACGTAATCCTTCTTCCCACTTCAAAGATGTGAGAACTGGTACTCCAAGACGTATAAACAGCTAGTAAAAGGAAGAAGCAGGATTCGCCTCATCTGTCTGACTCCAAAGAGAGGTGGGGGTGGCGGAAGAGGAAGCTCGAAGATGACATCATTGTCTCCTCCAAGGAACCAAAGCACCTCGGCCTAGCCCTTCCCTGTCATCCAGGTGATGGCAATCTGGGGACAGGCCGTCTTTCCCCCCCTCTGCCTCTCTTCCTCAAGCCTGGGGAAGGCTCCACCTCTCCACTAACAGTGACTTGTCTCCCCGGCCCCATCCTCCACTCACCCACCCGTCTCCCTCGACCCCTGGCTGGTTCCATTCTCACACTCCACACCTGGGCCCCCACATCCACCCCACATTCCCGCAGGCACTACAGAGACAGACTTCGGCTCCCCGGGCCACTGCTCCTGGCTTCCTGTGGGTTTTCTTTCACACACTACCCCGAGGCACTCTGAAGTACCCTGCCTGCGCCCTGAGGCTGCCCACCTCTCCTCTCACTGTGAAGCTGCTTCTTCTCCTGCTCTGCCCAGCTCAATACCCCAAGAAACCCAGCCTCCATCAAACTCTCTTCTAAAAGCCCCACTCAGCCACCCTGCCCAGCACCAGCCTTCCGCTCCTCAGCCGGCCTGACCCCATCTCCCTGCCTCTCTAGTGAACCTGGATGGCCCTTCTAAGCTCATCTCAAGTAGCACTTCCACCACGGAGCCTCTTCTGACTTCCTCCACTCAGTGCGATTTGCCCTTCATCGACTCACGCCCTTTCTTTGCCTCTCTCTGGCACCCAGCTTACTACCCATCACCGCATCTGCAGTGAGAACCACATCCTACTTGGCTCTGGATGCTCTGACACAGGCCCTACGCTGAATGGAACTGAGTGCGGACGTGGGCAGTGAGAGGGATTTCTGGAAAGCCCATCCCTCGCCAACTTCAAAGCAGAACTCCAGAACAGGAAGACCCGGCTCCAGGCCTGGCACAGGGTCATTTAACTCACCCTCTGAAAGCTACACCTTCTTGGAAGCAAGCTGGGGCACTCCTGTCCTGAAAGGCAGATTCTGGCACAGGCCTGTAGGTCTTCACATAGGCTCCTCCCAGAAGACAATGAACCTCCCTAGGCCCCAGTTCCCCCTCAGTGCAGTGGGGGTGATGCACGGACTCCCTCAGAGAGCTGGCAGGAAGATGCACAGTTACCATCCATAAGCGTCGGGACCAGTGCCCAGCAGACGTGCATGCTCTCTGCTAACACAGGGGCTGAGCGCTAAGCACACTCCCAAAGCTCTTAAGACTGGGCCTGCTCCACATGCAATAAGAAAAGAAATCCGTCTAGCTACAGGAATCCATTCCCAGAGGATAACGTCTTGGACAAGCTCTGAGGTTTCTCCCTGCCAGCCACAAAGGCCTTCAGAAGCACTCGGTCCTCTGCGGCTCCTACAAGACCACCGGGGAGACTTGGCCCCTCCAGCCACAGGTGTACACGAGTGGAACGTGAAGACTGCAGCACACAACACACTCAGCAACCTCGCAGGTTGTCATGAGGCTCAAAGGAGAGAACAGAAGACAAGAAACAGTTCTGAGAAGCAGCAAACACCAGCTGCCGGCTCTGGCCCTCAGGCCCCCAACACCAGGCCTTTTTCAAAGGACACAAAAGGACACACTGGCTTCCCCAGACG